TTTGGTTATGTCTGAGCAGGCAGGCTGTGTGTTCTTTGTTGTTTGCTCATCTGTGGGCACTATAGTTTTCACCTCCTTCTCCAATGGGCAGGGTCAGTCACTCAGGTATGTTACAGCAGGGCAGGTCCAGCTGAAGGGGAGTTGCTGGGATAGGTTTTTTTTGTGGCACATACCAGGGCTGACAGCGTGGACCGGGAATCAGCGCAGGGCAGGTTCCGGTAGGCCGTGCCTGTGTTGGTTGGGAGTGTGATGTTCAGCACATGGTGCAGGTAGGCAGGAAGGAGGGGGTAGATTGTGATGTGTGGAGCTTGCTATTGGAGTGGAGAGATGAGACCGAGAAATGGGGAAACACAAAAATGAAAAAAAAAGAAAGGGTAAAAGAAAAAAATGAATAAATTGAGAAACTGGAAATGAAGAAAGACAAAAAGGGAATAAGAAAGAGAAGAAAACTAAACAAAGAAATTGAAAAAAAACAAAAACAAAAACAAACAAGAAAAAAGAAATGCTCCCAGGGATATTCCTATGTGTGTGCACAGAGTAAGGGACTATCTTCCAAGCCACGTGGTACTGCCTGGCTAGAAGGGGCTCCCAAGCCGAGAAAAGGAAAAGAAAACAAACAAATCAAAACAGAACAAATCAGAGCAAACCAACAAGCTGCGGGGAGTTCCACCAGGGTGGCGGCACGGGCCGGGAAGAAGTTTCACAGTCGAGCGGTGTTTCGCAGCCTTTCAGGAAGAAGCAAAGATGGTGCATGGAGCCAGGTACTTGAGAGAAAGGAGGGGGCGGTGGTGAGAGGTAAGGAACAAATCTAAAGAAGCAGGAAAAAGCAACACCAGCAGCCAACAAATGGCACTGAGGGAGCTGGCCAGTGCAGGCGGGTGGAATTCAAGCGGCACTGTGGGGAGGCTTATGCTTCCTGGCCCATAGACTGTGGCTGCAGGAAGCAGAGGAGGTTAAATGGGGGTGAAGAAGGGTGAGGAGTCGGAAAGCCTATATCGTGGGTTACCGGTTGTTCTGTCTCCCGCTGGAAGCTCCGTGAAGCTGCTTTCTCATACCTCCTGTTCGCTGATCTCCGATAGGAGTCCAGGATGGTGTATCTGTGCTGCGGTAGCTGATAGGGGACCTCTGCTTGTATCTCTCCTCGCGCTCTTTTCTCGGTCAGTTTCTTATTCCATTTGGTGCTTGGCTGAGTTCTTTATCTCTTCATTTGACGGTTAGGTTTTCAGGATTGACGTGTGACTCTGTTTGACTTAGTTTTTCTGATCTTTGCTGCAGAGGGACGGCGTGGTGCATCTGACTATAGTGCCATGTTGCCCAGAAGTCAAATGCTGATGGTTTGAGTGACTGGCTTATGATTATTTCTCTTTTAATCAGCAAAAGCAGGGGCTGAGCCTTGATCTTCCAAAGCCTACAACTAGCTAAGGGCCATTCCTGCCCCAGGCTTCCATGGAGTGAAACCCCAAGAAGATGCTGGCATTGCACAGAGGCTGGCACCGCCCTGGGCCCAGTGACCAGTGTGTCCTCTTCCCTCAGCCTCTCTCATCCCAGCCCAGTTGCAGGAACCCAGAGGAGGGGTTTCCCTCTAAAACCTAGAGTAGGAGCGGGCTAAGAGTTCAGGGAGCATTTAAGCAAACAACCCTTCAAGAGAAGTCTTATTTCTTCCGGAGGGTAGCAAGGCTCTGGGGCCCTCTTAGCTCCCAGCATTGGAAGCCACAGCTTCCCATTCACGGCCTCCACTGGGCCTGGTTGGAGCCCCTGCTGTTGTGCAGGCTGCCCGAGTCTGAGCCCCAGGGGCCCCTCTCACCCTCACCCCACCAAGACCACAATGCTCCACCACGTGCCACACAACATCAGCCACAATAATAAACATGGACATCTTTATTGAGCACCAGATTCCCAGGAGGAGGGTTTCCAGTTCAACCAAGCCCATTGGCAATGGCCCTGGTCCTGGCCCAGGCACATAATCAGCTGTGTGGACACACAGAGGTATCCGTGTACACAAACAGGCACACAGGCTTCAAGAGCTTCAGCTGACTACTGAATCACAGTCTTCCTAGAAGGAATGAAGGTAAGTGTGTTGGCAACTCGACACAGTTATGAGGACTCCATCCACAGGACAAGGGCTCAGAAAGGCTGCTGTGATGTCTTCAGGGGTATAACCTTGCACCCTGGGGCAGAGAAGCAGAAAGATTAGGCAATTCCTAGTACCCAGGACTTTGTAAAAATCACAGAACATCAGAGGCAGAGAGGAATCCCCTTGTACCCGATGGGGAGACTGAGGGTGAGAGGAAGGGAATGGCTTGGCAAGGCCATACAGAAAGGAAGCAGAACAGAGCCAGGACCTGGGCCCAACTCCCTGTACCTGGCTTTAGGTGCCATGGAACCCTCCCCCCGAGGCTGCCCAGAATTTCGGGACTAGGCTTCAGAAAGTCAGTCTCCCTTCGACCAGCCCCTCAAGACGGCACTGTACATAACACATGCCAACCTAGGAGGTTGCTTTGGAGCCAGGAGTGATCACAGATCATTGGTGTTGGCCCAGAGAAGAAGGGCATCTTGCTCACAGTCCCACAAGAAACCAGTCTGGAGCTAGGGCAGGGTGATGATCAGGAGCCCAGACAGGAACATACCTGCAGAGGCTGGAGCTGCCATTCCATAGGCCTCATACAGCAGATCCAGAAGCTCCTCCTTCTCGTCCTCTGGGAGGAAACTGGACTGTGCTGCATTGATATTCTGGAAGGGCCAGCATGACAAACAGCATGGAACCAGAAAACATGGAAGGGAGCCCTCGACAGGCTAGTGAGAGTCCATCTTCACTGAACATGAGGAATTAAGCTCAAGGTGGGAGGGAATTGTCCAGAGTCACACAACAGCAAGTGATAGAGCAGAGACCATGAGGCTCTGTGTTTTTAATGTGGCACTCACTTCATAACAGATGTGAGAAGAAAGTTGGGGAAGCCTTTAGAAAGACAAGGTGGGATTGTGAGGCCAGAGAGACACTCTTGCAGGGACAGACTCAGGTTTCATAACCCATAAGATCAGGGCTCAGCCTGGGATCTATGGATGGCCTGAAATGTATATGAAAAATTTTATAGTTGGGCATATCTTTCTGGGTAGAGGGTGAACAGATTTTAGAGTCTTTGAGAGCAGGCGACCCAAGCAAAGGATAAAAGCCTCGTCTTAGTTCAGGAGGTCAGCCTGAATTGGTCTCTTTGGAAGACATCTAACTCTAGGTTTGGCTTCCCTCGACTGTCAAGCAAATTGGCTTCTCATCTCCAGATGTGCCAGTCCCTGGACAGGACCACCAGGCCACTTAGGAAGGAAGGAGAATTTCTGGGCCCAGAGTCAAGGCTGACATGGCTCATACCACTCACCAGTCTCTTAAACTCCTCTTCAGTAAAGCCCATGCTCCGTTTGGTCATCTGGTAATCAG